AGGAGGAGGAGGACGAGGAGGAGTCGACGACGAGTTGATTCCTCGAGGCGGGCGATTCTCGTGCCCCGTCACCGTTCGGAGTCGCCGTCTTCCTCCCCTGTTGGTGAGGAGTGATCGCCCGCACCGAGGAACACCCGCTCTGATTGCTCGAGCATCGTTTATTCGTGCTCCCGGGTGTCCTCGAACGGCCGGATATCGAATGAGTGGAGGCAGATCGTTGCTGCTCGTTGTCCGGGCTCGATGCTTTTTCCACGCCGCTCGACAAACACGACTCGTACGGCTTGAAGTTGGCCGCCTTGCTCGACTCGGCCGAGGCCACGATCCCCGGCGACGATTTCTCGCGCGATTGATCCGTCGACTTGCACGACTTGTTGTTGTTGTTGTTGTTGTTGCTGCTCGTCGAACCTTTGTCCAACGAGCCCAGCAAAGATTTGTTGGACGGCGTGTCCGCTCCTATTTGACTGCAAGTCTGAGCCAGGAGCGCGAGCGGGCTCTTCTTCGCGTCCAGCTGCAAACGAAAAACGACACGTGTCTATAAACAGATCGTTCTACGCTCCATCGTTTCGTGATTAGATATCGAGAAACGCCTACATTTTCCTAGGTAAAAACTGTTTAACATGCTTCCTTCTACTCGTATAATTTATTAAACGAGAAACTTTTTTCTACGAATATACTCGTAAATTTTCACTTATTTTTCAATATTTTCTTGATTTCATGTTAATTCGACAGTAGAATTACTACTATTTTTATATTATTTCTTTTTCAACATTTGTTAACGTTCTTAGGTATTTTAAGGAAAATAGAGAATAAGAAAATTGTGGAATTTTCGAATTTTTAATTGGTTTAATTTAAGGGGTTGAAGACGATTTTCCATCGAATTTCGACGAATAAAAGCTGGTTCGATCACGCCGGTTATAAATAGGTGGCATGGTAACGTTGCGCCGCGATCAAGTTGTTAAAAGAGAGCGGAGAATTAAAATGGCTGTTTACGGGCGCGGAGGTAGCCAATTAATAAGTGGTTGGCGACGCGGAGAAGAGCGATCGGCGTTGGAGAGGAGAATTGAATATCGGTGTCGAGCGAGCGTTTCCCTTCCAAGTGGCTAGAGATGATGCAGTCGGTGTAATTAGCGTATAGAGGAACGATATTTCTCGCGGTTTGATACGCGGTCGATCGAACAGATGTTCGCCGTAATTAAAACGCAACGTTCGTGCAGCTAACCCGCCGGTTTACGGTTGCTTTTGCTAATGGCTCGACGCCGACAGATATTAATGCCACGAATTGCAACAGGCTATTACGGCATTACGGGTCCGGAGCTGTATGTTAATCGCTCCCTCGGACAACTTAACGGAACGCGCCAACGCTCGATCGCGATATCGTATTTTTATCGTTAACCTTAATTTATGGATTCATCGTTCGAAATTTCCCTTTTAATCCCCCAACAACCGTCGAATAGTAGAGAATGGTGGAGGATAAACGCGTCCTTCTCTCTCTCTCTCTCTCTCTCTCAATCTTTTAAACGATCGTTATTTCCAATTTTGTTTTCCATTTTTAAATCGCGACTCGAATTTTACGTGGACGATGGATAATGGGGTAATGGTCGAAAATTACCACGTTTAAAATTAACTCTTGGCCGCGTTGAAAGTTTTTTTACACGGGCGCTAGTCAAACGGTTAACCGAGTTGGGCGGGATATAGGACGATAAAATGAAGTCGAGGAATAAATTATTTCTTATTTTCCATAGTTTCGAATACGTACGTGTTAATTTCGAAAATCATCCGTTCGAATAAATTTTTCATTTCCCAAACGTCAAAACTATCGTCCATTGTCGCGTAAAATTTCATAGAAATGAAATTAAATAATTGCAAGTCCCGATTCGCGAGACCGCTTAACCGGATAGCATCGGGTACTGCCAATTACTTGTTGCTTTTTACTCGTGATACCAATTGAAACATAATACGCATGCTCTTTGCCCATGCACTCGAGGGAATGCACGGTAATATCTATAACGAATCGTTTCTTTGGAAAATCGTTTCATTGAGAGTTAAGGTTGATCGTTATTTTAATCGAGTTTCATCGTCACATTTTGAAGAAATGTAGAGGGATTGAAGGAAAAGATAGTCGATCGAGGGAAAAGAGAAAGACGAAATAAAAGATAGGAAAAAGGTTTGAGGCTTATTATCGTTAAATGCGTATTCACCACGCAGAATGCTCGCTTATAACGCGTGTAAAAAAAAAAAAAAAAAAAAAAGAAAGAAAGAAAGAAAGAAAAAGGTAGGAAGGAACAACGGACGAGCAAAATGTTTCGTTCATTTTTTAACGCGAACACGCTCTCCGTCTATCTCTTTCCCTCTCGATCCTCCGAGCATTGTATTACCGAATCGTGTTTTGATTTATGGCGGTCGTAAATCAGTGAACGTTGAAGCAGAAACTTTGCCAGCACTCGCTGTCCTCAAAATAGTTTACAGGAGTTAAAGCATAAGACGTGAAATGCATTCCCGTCGCGATTAACGAGAAGTCGACAACTAGAATTAACGAACCGTCGAAACTATCCTTCTTCGTCGTGTTCATTTTACGTCGACTCGATCGTAATACGAATTTCACGCCTCGAGTAGCGATATTCCCATTTTCGATCTTTTATTTTATAATCGTTTACGCGATTTATCGATATTTTCTCTCTTTTCTCCCAAATTAAACTTTACCTTTGATCGATCATTTATCATATCGTATCATATCAATCACTGATTTGAAACGAAATCGAACGAAATTCCGGAGACGCGTATTAAACACTGCAACTGGATTATTATTATTATTATTATTATTATTTACATATTCTTTATACGATACGATAACCGTAACAATTATACAATATTCGTATCGGGAGAAAAAAATGGAGAAAAAAAAACGGAAATTAGAAAATACAACACTAACCGTAGTAGGTAAAGGAGTAAGATATTCCGGACGGAGGTACTGATTCGCGCTAGAAGTCAGCATCTTCGAAGGAGAGAATGTTCGCCTTCTTCTTGTCCACGAGTTATATATATATGTATATATATATATATATATTCCCTTTGGAACGAATAATAACACTGTGATCACTCGCGACGGTGGAACACAAAGAAGCGGAGGGGAAACGAGCAAAGGCTCGAAAAAAACACGTTCTCTTTCTTGTTGTATTCGTCAAGGTGAAACGAGGAAAGTACACGTAAACGAAGCCATCTCGATTTTAAAGCGATATATTCCAGCGTGAACACCACCGTTCCGTTCAACATACGAGAGGGAACACAACGGAGCACAGAAAAATATATGAAAACGAAAAAAACGAAATAAAGAGGATACCGTGTGCTCGCGCGACACGATACACGACGCATTCGGTTACCACGACCGGCTTCGAATCGCGACTGAGTCGCATCGCTTACTGTTCCCTCGACCGAGCCTCCCTGCTGCCCCCCCTCCCCCCACCACGCCGCCAGCACACTCTATCGATGACCGTTCAGCTGACTTACCCCGCCACACCATGCTCCCCCGGGAAAGCTTACCCCTTCGCCGCTCTGTCGGTACATCCTAGTTTCTCCCACCATCCACCATTTCGGATTTTCTAGCGATGAAAGTGATACACTCTCGTGGGAGGGGAAAAAAAAATAAATAAATAAATAAATAAAATAAAAGAAGAAAGCAAAAACAATTCTTTTTTTTCGTTGACATTCGTATCGAATGGACATTTCGATTCAACGTTATCCAAATCCATCGTTTCACGTTTCCTTTTTCTTTTGCGTCCACCGATCACAAATACGCGCCCGTTTTTTTTTTTTTTTTTTACGATCCAAATAACCTAATTTCTCTTTCTTCTCGCGTATACTTTAGACTCGAAATTTCGAATATTTGTTTTCCACGCGTTTCGAACTCGGAGCCATCGCTACTAGTGTCGAAGGATTCCCCACTCCCCTAGCGAGAGGTATCGAGAGGTATACGACAACGACAAGGACAGAGCGAATAGGAAGAAGAAGGCGAGCAACCGATGCGAAGGAAAGAGAAGGAAGGTGACGTGGAGATAGCGGTGGTGTGGCGATGGTGGCGATGGTGGCGGTAGCGTTCGCGACACGGTGGTCGTTGTCGGTT